TCATTCAAATCAGAAATGAAACAGACTCAAACAGACGATTCTACTCAAACTTAGTACACTCAAATCTCGATGTACACAGCAAGTAATCAAACCATTTATTCGTGAAGGAAATATGTTGAATTTGAAGACTGATTTAGCTTCCGACAGAGAAAGAGGGCATTAGAAGCGTTTCGAGAAATGGGTTGGAGTTAACGAACTCGAGAAATAAAATGCCGTTGTTGTTCAATTTGAAGCTCTGTTCTAGATTGTAAGTCAGAGACGATCGAAGCGGTGCGTTTAACAGATTCCCGGTACTACTATCTCAACCGGACATCACCGGTACAGTTATCAAATTCGAACTCTGTAATTGAACGGTTTAAAGGAGAGAAGGAGACCGTTGTAGATCCGTTGATTTTCTTGTTCGGAGAAATAGTGAAATACAGAAACTCATCTCGCTCGATAATCTCATTCTCTTCTTCTTCAGCTAGATTCTTCTCTATTCCTCTCTACTTTATTTGCTTTTACCATCTGGGTTCCTGTCTTCAGCTCCAGAAACAGACAAACCGATGACCAAATCCAACTGCAACATCGAGATCTAATCGATTCAGAAGAATGAAGGAATGAAGCGACTTGATTTGGTTTTGGATTGATTTCGATTGGCAAAGAAAATCTCTTTTATCTGAATGAAGATTACTCAACTTTGGACCCCTCCTTTCAGCTTTGGTTTGTTTCTAATGGATGGGTTTGTTTCGTTGGTTTCATTTCAGGTTCCTAAAAAGAAAGTTGCAGACTTGTTCTTAAAAAGAAACATTTTTCCTGATATTTTGCAGAATTTTTAGAATCACATCATCATTACATAACAGTGACAAGTAATGGTGTGGATTGAATCAAATGCGTACTGGTGTAAGTAAAACTAAAAGCAGAAACCATTTAAGCTAGTGTTTTCATGTTACTTGCTTCTTGATTAGTAGAAATGTTCCTCTCAAATTCCAATTCATTTCAAGAAGCATGTTATTCTTACAGATATAGTAGCTGTTGCGCACATCATGAATGCAACTTTAGTCATTCTCTGTTTTTATGGCGGCTCTTTGTTTACTAGTTATGAGGTTTGCGCTATTGCTAACTTACACTTCACTATGCCGCAGTGTTTTTGATGACCAACATTTTGTTAAATCCTTGCCAAGAGATGTGACGATTATTAAAAAGCTCCCAAAGGAAGTAGAATCTTTACGTAGAGCAAGGAAGCATTTCACTTCCTGGTCTGGTCTGGTGTAAGATATTATGAAGAAATGACAAACTTGTGGAAGGAGTACAAGGACTTACGCAACTTCTCTTTGAAAATTGCATCTGCTGTGTAGATAATTGGCGGATGTTAACTGCGAAAAGAATAACAACAATGCGGGTCATCCATGTCTCAAAATCAGATTCTCGCCTTGCAAATAATGACTTGCCTATCGACATTCAGAGATTGAGATGCCGCTTCTCTCCTGCAATTGAAAGCCTTGGACAGATGTGAGCCCTTTTGCTATTCATGTTAATTTCTTATGCGGCGTAATCACGCACACGACATAGATAGGCTCTTCTTAAATTTGCAAGATTTTAAGATTTTGTCCTTCCTTGGTTACGGAATGGCAGTATGGAAGTTCCAAAACTCAGTGAGTTTTCATCATCAACTGATACAACTATCAATCACTGATTGTGGAATGCGCTTGGGGACTCGTTAGGAGAAGCCTGATAACAGACTGAACACTTCTTTCTGAAAGTACAAGCCATTGGAAGATCAAAAGTATAAATTCAACAGAGCAAAGAGTGGGAATCTTTCTGAAAAGTCTCGGAATTGCTAGTCATATTAATAGCTTCTTCCTTCTTCTACTAGAGAGAGACAGAGAGAGGGTTTTCTACTCCGTTATCTTAA